GCGAGGCCCCGCATTAAGCACGCAATGGAGGGTGGAATGAGGGGCCAACTTGGCGCCCAGCCGAAGACCGTCTTCGTGGAGGCCAAATCGGCCTCTCAGTCGATGCGGGCAGGCGACCTGACGGAGTCGCACTCCCGCTTCTTTTTGAGGGTTAGTTAGCTTTTCCTCAGAAATACCCTTGCTTGAGACGAAGAAGTTGTCAACAATCTTTGTAGACAATCGCCAATCCGGGAGCGGCCACAAGCAGCCGCTCCTCGCAGCGTAGTCACTCCTTGTCGTTAAGCCAAAATGCTTCGTCAGCTGCTGAGCAGCATTGTAAGGCGTATGCACGCGGCGTCGTTAAGCCTATTCAACTTGCCGTTCTACTCAGTACAGGATCGAAGCCATGTCTCGTGTATGCGTGGGCGCCTTGCTGTCTGCAATGCTGTTTGCAGTCAGCGCGAATGCACAAATCTTACTCTCGTACGAAGACCTCGACCCCGATGGCACCTCGCCGGTTGGTAACGGACTAACGATCACCGGCGGCGACGTCGGGGGCCGTACGGGCGTCGGCATCCTCGACGTTGGCTCTGCCACCGGGACTTTTATGTCTCTCTTGACGGACCCCGCAACGTTCGACGTGAGTGCGTTCGTCGGCAAGTCGTACTCGGCGGCCGCCGAAGCCTACATCCCGTCGGTGTCCACGATCAACGAGGGCGACTCGATCTACCTCACGATTGACTACTTCAATGAGTCGGTGGGTGCGGCTGGAGCCGGCAACTTCGTGCGAACCAACAACGGGTTCTTCAGCGCGGCCGCGCCACGCGATCAGTGGCTGGCCATGAACCTCGATGGGTTTGTGCCGGCCATGACCGACAACGGTAACGCGATCGACAGCGCCAACGTCCGCGTCGTGATCACCGACGGCGGATTCGGTGGCCTCCCGAACGACTCCGGATTCGGTGAGTTCGCTTACCTCGACAACTTCAGCTACGTGGTCCAGGAGCCGCTGCCGCCCACCCCGATCTTCTTCTCCGAGGACGCGCCCTCGAACCTGAACATGAACGAGGGCAACGTTCTGTTCGAGCCCGCGCTCGATCCGAACGACGCCTCGAACGACGTCGGTGAAGTGATCTTCGGCGGACTCGGCACGTTCGTGAATGTCAACATCGGGGCGCCGGTCGATGTGTCGCCCTTCGAGGGAGATAAGTTCCGCGCCTCGTTCGATTACCTGGTCCCGGCCGACACGGCTCTCGAGCCGGGCGACGACACGTTCTGGCTGCAACTCGCCTTCAACGACCCGGCAAGCGCCAGCACACCCCAGGGCGCCGGCAACAGCACGTCGGCCGGATTCCCGGCAATCGATGTTGTCGCCGATGGGGTTTGGCGAACGATCGAGATCACCGGCGTCATCCCGCCGGACACCGATGGTGCCACCATGCAGATCACCGCGAGCGACGACGGCTTCGCCGGTGGGCCGGCCGACACCTTCGGCACCGGTTTCTTCATCGACAACGTGGTCTTCGAGGCCGTTGAAACCCTCGAAGGCGATTACAACGACGACGGGGTTGTCGACGCCGCCGACTACACGGTCTGGCGTGATAACGACGGCACCGCCGCCCCGACCGGCCCTCCCTACGCGTACCGCGACGCGGTTGAGCTGAGCGGTGAGCGGTCCATCAACTTCTCCGGCGACGGAGCCAACGGCGTGGACGCGGCCGACTACACGGTCTGGGCCGGTAACTACGGATCGCCCGCGGAAGCGGGTGTCGCGGTCCCCGAGCCGGGCGCTTGCCTGCTGCTCGTGGTCGGTGTCGCTTCGATCTCGGTGCGGCGGGTCGGGGTGGCCCGTCACGCCGAGGTCAAGCGGGCGTCCTGAGATCGATTCGCTAGTCACGAGTAGCTTGTCGCCAGGGGTGTCGGCCCGATCGGATCGGGCCGACACCAGGCGCTCAGAACACTTTTCAATATCCAACCAGCGGAGTCTCACATGGCCGACAGTCAATCAGCGGCTTCCAACCGCCGACCCAGCCAGCCAAACGGATCGAGTCATGGCGGATTCACCCTGGTGGAACTCCTGGTGGTCATTGCGATTATCGGCATCTTGGTCGCTCTGCTCTTGCCGGCGGTGCAGGCCGCTCGTGAAGCGGCCCGCCGTTCTCAATGCTTGAACAACTGCAAGCAGATCGTGCTGGCGACCCACAACTACGAGGCGACGTACGGCATCCTGCCCGAGGGCGCCATTCACTGGCTCCCGACCGGGGGCGCGGGAACCTACGTGCGAGACGCGGGCCTGTTGGCGAGGATCTTGCCGTTCGCGGAAGACGCCACGCTGCACTCGCTGCTCGACTTCAACGACCCGGACCCGAATGGCACCGAGGTTCAGAAAGACGGCAATGGCAGTTATATCAAGATAGTACGGCGACGGCGTGCTGCGAACGCAACACGCGACTTTCCAGGGTGAGACGTTCGAGCGAGCGAAGACGAACTACGTCGGCTCCATGGGATCTGAACGCTCCGGAACCGGGAATTCCAGCGCGAGGTGCTTGCTGGCCTTCACCGAGTACAACAAGTACGCAATCAATACGCACACCGGCGTTCCCAAGAAATCGGAAGATATCTCCGGGGTCTTTTCACGGCACGATGTGCCGATCAAGTTCCGTCAGATCACCGACGGCCTGTCGAAGACCATCTTCTACGGTGAGGTACGCCCCGACTGTTCTCAACACGTATCCGCAGGATGGAACAGCTCGAACAACCTGTGCGGCCTGGCCCGCACCTCGATCCCGATCAATTTCGACACGTGTTCGAAAGAAGCGGCCGATAACTGCAACCAATGGAACAACTGGGTGACCTCCTGGGGATTCAAATCCAGCCACCCCGGCGGCGCCAACTTCGCCTTCGGGGATGGTAGCGCACGGCTCCTCTCCGAAGACATCGATTTCGAAACCACCTACCAGTACCTGGGCGATAAGTCAGACGGGCAAGTCATCGACGAGTCGACGCTTTGATCCAACAATTGTCGAGGAGACAATCCGCTGTGGGAGTAAATCGGTTGATCGGCATGTGGTGTCTGGGTCTGATCGCTTTCGTGCTGGCCGGGTGTGAAGCCCCTGAGTTTGCTCCGATCAGCGGTGTGATTACCTACAACGGTGAGCCGATAAGTGGGGCGACGGTGACCTTCAAGCCGGCCGATGGCAAGAAGGTCAGCTACGCCAACACCAAGGCGGACGGAACTTACGAGCTAGCGATCGCAGGAGAACGCGATCGGTTCGGGGCGGCGGTTGGCGAGAACCGTGTCAAAGTGACCGCCATCGCCGAAACAGGCCAGAGTGATCCGGACCTGGGCTCGCTGCCTCAAGTTGGCGCCAGCAACAAAATCGAGTACCTCATCCCGACCAAGTATTTCGAGTACGAGACTTCCGGGCTGAGCTTTACCGTCCCAGCTGGCGGCAGCACCGAAGCCGACTTCGCGCTGTCGGATTGAGCCGCAGCTCGCGCAGCCCGAGCCCCGCTTCGATCGCTGAGCATTCCAAGCGACAAGCCCGAAGGCGATGAGGGGTTCCAACGGCGACCTGCAACGACTGCCCGCCCAGCTTCGGCTATATCCGATGAAGCCTTGGTAGCCGGGTGCACGGTGGCTCCGCATGAGCCACCGTGCGATTGCTTCTCCTTCGCAAAGCCGCTTCTTCCTCGTGGGCTTCGCGCCACGCATCAGTGGCGTCGCTAGCACTCGCCTCGTGCTAGAGCTCCCCTTGGTGGCTTCAAGCAGCTGCGTCTCCGTGCTCAAGACGCCGCCGTCGGTCCCTGAAGGGTCGGTGGCGTTGTCAGCGAGTAGCCGCGGGCTGCTCCGGTCGTATCTCTAGAAATCCCTGACGGTTGTAGCATTTGTAGCGATCTTGCCCCTTCGGGCTGTCGATACAACCGATGCAGTCTCTTAAGGCTCGCAACCGTCAACGCCCGGCTAGCAGCGCCATCTAGAAGCGACCGTTCCTATGATGCGAACCGGCCCTCTGGTCTTAGCCTGGTGTGCGGTCGTTGTGCTCGCGGGCAGCGAAGCATCGGCCGAGGGGCCTTCGGCCCCGCCGCTCTCTCCCACGCTCTCGTGCGACGAACCGCTGATCGATTTCGAGATCGATCCGGCGAGCCATTGGCTCGATGAGCAGGCCACGGCGAGCGAGGAGATCGACCTCGCGGAGCCGACGCTCGAAGAGCGTTTCTCGCGGCTTGAAGCGAAGTACGACGAGCTCGAGGGCGACTACAAAGACCTCAAGAAGAGCCTGAAGGGGCACGCGAAATCGGGGCACAGCGGCGCGACGATGAAGGTCAACGGCCGCATCCACGCCGACCTCTGGGGCTTCCCGGGCGACTCGCCCGGGGTCAACGGGTTCGAGTCGGGCGACGTGAACGACTCGCCCGAAGACCGCCAGGGCTTCCGCCGCATCCGGATCGGGGCCAAGGGCGATCTCCCCTACAACATGCTTTACAAGCTCGAGATGGAGTTCGCCGGTGGCGAGGAGAGCGAGATCCGTGATGTCTACCTCGGCTGGAAAGACTTCTCCTGCTTCCAAACCGTGCTGATCGGTAACCAGAAACGCCCCTACGGCTTGGACCACCTCAACAGCAGCCGGTTCAACGTCTTCATCGAGCGCCCCTTCGTGATCGAGGGCTTCAACCAGGACGCGCGGCGGTTCGGCGTGCAGTCGTACGGTGTGTCGGACGACCAAGCGTGGAACTGGCGGTACGGCTACTTCAACCAGCGCCTGGTGCAGGACGAGGGCAAGTACAGCAGCGACCATTGGCAGGGCCAGATCGCCGGGCGTTTGGCTAACACCATCTGGTGGGACGAGTGCTCGGACGGTCGGGGCTACGCGCACTGGGCCGTGGCGGGGACCTGGGCGAACACCGACCAGAACGCGCCGACCGACAACTTCGCCAACTCTGGGCAGAACGAGGCCCGCTTCCGCCACCGCCCCGAGGCCCGGACGACCAGCCGCTGGCTCGACACCGGCGTGATCGACGGCGCCGACGACTACACGCTGCTGGGGCTCGAGGGGGTCGTCAACGTCGGCCCCACCCAGCTGGTCGCCGAGTACCAGAACATCTGGCTCA